GTGGAGAATTTGAACGACGCCATTATACACAAAAGAACACGTCAGAGGCTGGTCATAGTTTAGCGAGATGGGATTAAAGTTTTAAGTGAGAGATACCGTCTAAGTCTGACTTAATATTTGACAGGTAGTGACTCTTAACACACCTACAGAACAGCATTATAAGATATGATACTTAAGCCAATAGTAACGGTGACTGTAGACTGTGTAGAGGGAAGTAAGCCACTGCCACAAGGAAACTGTAGCTAAAGAAGCTCTCTCCCTCCACTCCTGTAGTCTCGCCCCCTACCACCACTACCACATGTGAAGACCCTGAAATAACTCCACCCCTTCCCTCTCTCGACTGGTTGAGAGGCGACGCACGTGTCTAGTTCCCCCTTGAGTCTGTGGGAATGGTACCTACGGGGAAGGCGGTGAAGGGGCATTGACCTAAGTTTGGCTCTACGGGGGTTTTGGTTGGTACTGGTGGGAGAATGGTTAGCACAGGTTGACACAGATGGGAGAATGGTTGGTACTGGTTGACACAGGTGGGAGAATGGTTGGTACTGGTTGACACAGGTGGGAGAATGGTTGGTACTGGTTGACACAGGTGGGAGAATGGTTGGTACTGGTTGACACAGGTGGGAGAATGGTTGGCACTGGTTGACACAGGTGGGAGAATGGTTGGTACTGGTTGACTGGTTGACAGGTGGGAGAATGGTTGGTACTGGTTGACACAGGTGGGAGAATGGTTGGTACTGGTTGACACAGGTGGGAGAATGGTTGGTACTGGTTGACACAGGTGGGAGAATGGTTAGCACAGGTTGACACAGGTGGGAGAATGGTTGGTACTGGTTGACACAGGTGGGAGACTGGTTGACACAGGTGGGAGAATGGTTGGAACTGGTTGACACAGGTGAGAGTTGGTTGATATAAGTAGGGGGGGTCGACACACGTATAGCGCAATGACCCAGGTAATTGTAGTAGAACAGGTGGGGAAAGGTACAAATATTGACAGTAGTGGTGAGAACTGGCACACATGTAGAGAGAGAGAGAGAGAGAGAGAGAGAGAGAGAGATGACATGATGGTTGTAGCGCATGTGAATATTGGCACCAGCAGAGATTGGGTCAGGCTAGGATAGGTGGGAATTGGGGTCGTGAAGGTTGTTTTAGAGTTACTAGTTGGAATATGAATGATAGATTACTAGTAGATATGTATATAATAGTGTATAGGAGTGATTGTTATTTATGGATTTTAACAGATAATAAGTGATTGCGAGGAGGATTTTTAAGCGTTATTGCGACGTGATTTCTAAGACGAAGCTCCTGTATTATTTCTTGGACGAGTGGGACTGTGATAGGCGGGGGTGTGTGTTGAGGGACAAGCAGATCTTTCACCAAGGACAAGCTGGTCACATGATGATGATGGCCGGGCAGCTGTGTAACACGACCCTCACTACCAAGCCACCACACCACCGCTGCTGATGACCACACACACACACACACACACACACATATGAACTTAAAAACATAGAGACCCACACATCTCTAGTCCTTCAGTAGAAATAATTAAATCTCATGGAACATAATGCAGTGTTTCGATGAAGAGTTGTATGAAATGAGAAACTTTTACGCGACGGTGAAGGCTTCCGATACACAACGCAAAACACAATGAAACAAGCGTAAGGAGTCCGGGAGAAACACCTTGAACCGAGTGAATTAGTGTGTGTAGATGTGTCCAGGTATTACCCTGTGAATGTTTTAGAAGTGGTGGTGGTGGTGGTGGTGATGGTGCGGCTTAATTTGGCAAGGCAAGTGTGTGGTGGTGTAAGCCTTGTGAGGAGGGATGGTTGGTGGGGTGGTGTAGAGGATGGTGATAGGTAGGGTGGTGTTAGTGTGGGAGGATGGTGATTGCTGGGTGTGTTACGAGAGGGTTGTGGTAAGAGGTGTAGTGTAGTCAGGGGGGGCCACACTGGTGTTTGCTAATTCCAAGATACACTTATGTCAGAGCCCTTCCACCTACACATAATCATTCCTCTTAATACCCTCAATTTTCACACAGATTTAGGGTGATTTTCTCGTAATTGGATAGTTTCGTGTTATCAGTTATTATTGGAGAGAGAGAAAGAGAGAGAAAGTGAGAGAGAGAGAGTAGACGAGTTCCCTGACCCCCTGAGGTACACGCCACAAGTGATGATGAGTGCGGGTAATGTGGCAAGTTGTGGCTCCCACGGCCCTCTTGCTCACTTGTTGAGGTGACCCGACGTCCCAGCCCACCTGCCACACTTCCTCCCTCTCTCTCTCTACCCGCGCTACCACCCACACTGCCTCCACCCACACTATTACTCCTCCCTCACTCACACTTAAAGTCTCCTGCGTCTCCCCAAAAATGACAGGTGTATTAATGTCCTCCGTATAAAGAATTTATTTCGTATTTAACCAGAGTTGGTGTGGGAGGATGAGGAGGCGGCGGCGGCGGTGGTGGTGGTGGTGAAGTACATTAGGGTAGAGGGTAGGGATGGGAGGCCATGTTGCCCGGATGTACCATTGAGGGGGCGTGGGCGGGATCCTCTGACCGGTGCAAGCGTCCTGGGCGGGGGGGGGGGGGTCGACAATCTCTCTCTCTCTCTCTCAGTAAATCATTGTTAAAATTCATCAGTAACTGTGTTTGTGTCGACGTGAACGCACACTATTTCGGAAAACGGCAGAACCAATTTTAATGAAACTTAACATATGGATTAAACGCTACTCACTAAAAAACGATATGATATAACTGTGGTCAAAGATAACAGTTACAGGTTACTGGACAGTGGCTAATAAAGTTCTTGGTCAGAGGTAAAGGTGATAATGTAAACAACACCTTGACAAAATTTCAGGCTTGGCTATGCTGTTTATGGCCAGTGTCTTATTTAGTGTGAAAAGTTAGGTTTGTGTGTGTAGGGGGTTGTCCTGTATGTCTGTAGGATCATTTAGGTATTCCTGTAGCATCTGTAGCATCCTGGTTATTTATGGAACATTATGTATAACTGTGGAACCTCTCTCCTATTAGCGGTCAACCTTGTACACTGTTTTATTACTCCGCCCCAGCCCTTACCTTACCTTCCCGCCTCAGCCCTTACCTTAACTGTCCCCTCTGCCCTGCCCACCTGCCCTGGCTCTACCCGCCACCAGGTCTGCCCTTCACACCCCGGATGCAGACGTCTCTCCCTGCCACAACACATCGCTCTCTCTTGTGTCCTCTCCCCGTCTGCCTGCCTGCCTGCCCCCTGCTTACCGTGCCTACTTGTCAACTCTACCTACTCACCCTGCTTACCCTAACCTGCTTGCCTACACTATCTACCCTAACTTACTTGCCTATTCTACCTACCCACCTTGCTTAACCTTCCTGCTTGCCCATCATACCTTCCCACTGGGTGTGGGTGGTCTGAGGTGAGAGTGAGCGAATGGGAATGGGCAGTCAGGGGGTTGAAATGGGTGGTCGAGGGTTGATGTGGGCGGTGGAGGGTGGGAGTGGGCGGTCGAGGGAGTAGAGAGAGGGAGGAAGACGTAGGGTCTCTATTGATTGGACGGATATTAACGGTGTAGCGGGAGCCAACTGTTTGGTCACCGCCCGCACTGCGGTCTTCACCCTCACTAACTCCCTCCCACGAGGTGTTAGTGTCCCTTGTTTATGATGAGGGAGGGTACAGGGTCAGGGAGGACGGGTGCCCCGGATGTGGGAGAGTGGTTACCGGGTGAGGGAGGGTGGGTGCCGGATGTGGGAGGGTGGGTGCCGGGTGAGGGAGGGTGGGTGCCGGGTGAGGGAGGAAACATGTCAGGTTTGTCAGAGAGGAAAGATGTTGGGTGAGGAAAAGTACCAGGTGAGGCAGGGAGGGTGGCGGGTGAGGGAGGATGTCGAGTGAAGGGGGGGGGGTGCCGGATGAGGGCCAGCTGGGAGAGGTGGTGGGGGCGGTGGAGGTGAGGCAGGAAATTGGTTCTTTGAAGACACGTGTTAACCCCTTAATGGGGAGCAACAAGGGGGAGCGGAAGGTGCCAAGGTGGCTCTCCCAGGTGGGCGGGGCCAGCTGCTGCAGTTTAGTGTCGTGTTCCATCTAAAGACCAGCTGTTCCTGTTATTGCTGTTGTTGTCACCTTTTGTAATTTTAATGAACCACAAGCACTCACCGGCACAAGGTTTTACCATATAATTAGCTACAGGAGTCGTAGCAAGGTGGAGATGAGTGCTGGTGTAGGCTCTGTTGTCAGTAACACGAGGGAGGAGGGTGGGAGGTGGTCTATCAGAACTGACCCACGTGGAGGTACGGACGTGGCTATCACTCCCGCATACCTCACAATCACCACTACTTGTTCCTCATACCCCCCTCCTCCTCCACCAACACACGTGACCTGACTTTTCTCCCACCTGACCTCCAACCTCACTTGACCTTCCATCATCTGATCAACTCCTGACTGCTACCTGCCTTACTGTTACCTCACCGTTTTGAAGTAAAGAAAGAGCTAATTACTGTACACTGCCCGGCGTCAAGGTGAGCATCCGGATAGATCTGGAGAAAGAGACGAACCTGCTCTGTTGTTTGTGGTCGTCGTATCATGGAGGCAGTTTAATAATTCTCCCGCGTGTGTCCTTCCTCTCCCTGACTGGTACTGTTATCTAGACACTCCCTCTCACTCCTCATAACTGTCCTCCTCTCCCCTTTGTCCTCTTCTTCGTCTTCTCCCTCTTTGTCTTCTTCTTCTTCCTTGTCATCTCCATTTTTGTCTTCATCTTTACTCAGATTAATTTCCATTTGTCGAGGTAAAGTGGTGGACGTGCAGGAGATACAGTATACGTCTCTCCTAATACGTCATCCAGGTGTGTTTGTTCGTCTCTTGAATGTAAACAACAACATTCTACAGTCTCTCCCTATGTCTCTTAAAACATGTTAAGTATAGGGTGTAATTTGACAGTAGATTACAATTTGTGTTCATTAATGTATTCCAATTTTGATGCATTAGATTTTTATTTCATTGTACAGAACTTTTAAGTGAAACGTACGTGTGTGTGTGTGTGTGTGTGTGTGTGTTGTTTATATAGAGACGTGACTGATAATGCTTTTGTGTTTGTTTACAGGATACAGGTGTCGGGTCACGCGGTGCGGTGGGACAGTCGCTTCACCTTTACCTGCAAGATGACCGCCAACGCCTCCACGGGGGAGCTGGACTCGTGCATGTGTCGCGTCTCCGTCAGGCAGGTGCTGTATCGTCCATTACCGTTTTATTTCAGTGGGAGTAGATCGTCCTGTCACATGCACCTCACGAGATATATTTACACTTACTCCCCGAGAAACACACACACACACACACTCACTCTCACTTTCCGGAACTCTCCTCCGCGCTCTGGACAACAAATAAGTATTGTATGAGCCTTTAAGTTAGTTATGTTGCAAGACTTGTACACAGAACCCTTGGTGTGAAAGTGCAGTTCGTCTTTCTTGTCAATAGTCCTCTCTCGGGTCAGTAGACATAGCTCAATGGCGGGTGTTGGGGATGAGTGCTCGTCAAAGGCTGGAAGGAAAGGCCTGTGTGTAACCCCCGGTGTCTCAGGCTGGTGGTTTGTTCCCGTGATGGGTTGTATAATCTTGAGGTGTTGTGTAGGGGAGGTTAAGTCCGTGTGGTTGGATGGCCCTCTGGTTAACTTACTTCACTGTTGTGGGAACTTGGTGCGGATACGTTGTTAAAGGTTCAATATTTATTAAAACTAATATAGAATCTAATAGAGCAATAGATTAACAACCACTGGCAGGATTTTCTGAGTGATAGCTTAGTGCTTTACGACGTAGTGGTTGATAGACTAGGCTGAAGGGTTTAGTAGCACAGGGAGGTTTTATAAAGCTTTCACCAGAAAAAATTGCGTGAAAGATTGACAACCGTTTTATACCAGACCTCGAAGCAGTATGGTGATATTCTGGACGAAATCGTAATGAAAACAATAGTTCTCAAGACATTATGGGATCAAAAAAACTTGTTTGTCCTTGAACTGAAAATTAATGCGGCGAACTGTTTTAGGAGTTTAATGTAACACTGGAGGGCGAGGAACTGGTCCTGAAGTGGCACATGGGGTCTACAGGTGAACCAACTGTACCATAATACTCATGACTGAACATTACATAGATCAGTTTAGTTACAGTATTTTTCAAGACTAATTCCTACTTGACCATATTATTTTTTATTCCAATGGCGGGTTGAGACACATTCTCCACAGTGTGTTATGGGAGAGGTGGAATTAAACAGTAGTGGAGAATGGCCTTGTTAGTGGAGTGCCGATAGAGTCCCCATTGAGGCCTAACCTGGGGTAGCGTGAGTGTCGGAACCCTAACATGTGGGTCATAAGTAAACACCTTTTTTAAACACAACCTCCCCACCCCTTGGAGCCCCTAATGAGAGAAAGACCACCCCCCCCCCAACCCACACCACCTTGGGTACGCACCTGCCACCACCTGGAACTAATAATATTTACCTAAAAAAAATAAGGAGTGTTTAATTCCAGGTTGGTTTTCCTTCTCGTCACTTCATATTTTATTCACTCAAGAAAATAAGGTCAGTCTTGTGTTTATATTTCAAACTGAAGTATTGTTTGATTAGTAAAGTGAAATTAATATTAACGACATTAACAATCAGGTATTAACTGTGTGCCAAACAAGACAATAATATTAACAAAACAGATTAACACTACAGGTTTTAGGCATCATGCCGTTTAAGTTTACCTATTACTACAAAATGGTCAGGTCTACTACAGTAAACATCAGATGTAAGATCCTACAAGGTCATGAAGATTTTCTACAGTTACACCATCTATTGTGGTGGTCGTTTTCCTTCACCATAATGGCTAAGAGAGTAATGGACCTCGGGGCTGCTGCAGTATATATATTTAAGCGGCTTCAGTATAAACAATGTGAACAACCTCCTGGCTTCAAAAGAGCGTGCGGTCTACAAAATACCATTAGCCTGACCTGACCTAAATAACCTGTAGACCACACGCTGTTATAGTATCACCCTTTAAACTTAATTGACTTAAATTTTTTTCCTGTAAATCTACCCACGAGAAATGTCATCCAGCACTGATACTGACACTTTCCTATTTGTTAATTTGAGGGTCAGACTTTCCGTTTTGTGTTTGGGAGGTTGTCATGTACACAACTGACTCAGGTGAGACTAATGTTTATGAAATGGTTTTTACCTGAGAGGCCGAGGGCAGAGCTAGTCAAGGTCACGGTCGGATTTAAAGGAGAAAATAAACTTTGACATTTTTGTACATCAGTTTGAGAGCTCGTTAGTGTACCTGTGTTGGAACTACAGGTAATAATAATAATAATACAGTATAACCTCTATTTAACGGACTACATGGAGAGGGAATTCCGTTATATCGAGGGTCTATTTGATGTGTAACTTCCATCTAACGAACTATACAGATGAAATTCCTTTATATCGAGTGTCTGTTATATGTGAAACCCCCCAGCTGACGGATTATATGAAGAGGGAAATCCGTTACATGGAGGTTTCACTATAGTTGAAGTATTAATAATTGGTAGAACTTTGGATTAAAAAATAAACCTAATAAATATCAACTTTCGAACAATTTTGTTATATAAAAATCTTATCTCGGCTTTAGAAAAATAATAACTCGGTCGATACATCAATATATCGTCGTATTTTCCTCCCGGCATACCGATACACTCAATGTTCTATCAATGACAACAGTAATGCTCTCTCTCTCTCTCTCTCTCTCTTCAAGGGTGTAGAGCTGCTCGAGTAGATAAATATACTCATAACCGTAGTAGACTGAATGATGTAGGTGTGTGTGTGTGTGTGTGTGTGTGTGTGTGTGTGTGTGTGTGTGTGTGTGTGTGAGACCCGAGTGCTTCTCCTCTCATTACAGTAACTCTTAATAACCAAAATTACGCTTCTTATCCCATTAAGAGCGCTAGTGTCGCGTCATACAGTACGCTGGCCAGGAGCTACCAGTGTGTTGTCTGATGAGGATATGATAAACTGGATATATTTTCAACACGGAGAAGAAAGTTTACATGGTGAACTGATACCGTAAACTTACATACATACAGACACTTACGGTACGAGGCACTTAACAACCACTTGCTTCTCCCAGTTACACAAGTCCATCTGAAGCACAGTACACTCAACATGTGACTGGCGGGGGAATAAACATAGCCTTTCTCCCTGCCTTTCCATCATCGTTCCCAGGAGTTAATAAGTGTTCAAAACATCTTAAGTGTAATTTTGTTTTATCTAAATGTTTATAAAAAAAATTCCCTTCACTCGTAAACATGACTAAACATAAACACACATTGTCTGTTTGTGTGTTTTGTGTGCACTATGATCCTCTGATGGAAGTTAAAGATTACGACATAAAACTGGTAATTGGTTTAATATGTTAATGGAATACACTCTTGAAGGATATATTTAAGTTCTAAACACTAGCTGGCTTTCGTGTTCACTGTGTTGATTAAATTAGTATTTTTAAGGTGACATTGCTGGAATCGACTAAGATGTTTTTACTATTGCGAATATTGTGTACCCACGTAAATGTACCTGAGCTGACGAAGTTAATTAAGTTTTTTTTTTCTCGATCAAATCAGTTTTAATTAATGGATTGCTTTTTAAGTGACTATTGTATTCTCCTTCTTGTTTAACTTAATAATGATTGATTGGTAAATATTAATGAGAAAGCAAGAGTGGTTGAGAGCATTTATTAACTCAGCGTGTTTCATAGCTCCTAGGTTGTGATGACCTCCCGTTATAATGACAGTGGTCTACGCTGGAGATAATTATGGCTACACGCACACCCATACACGCACCATTTACACGAGTAACAATGACGCACGCAACCCTTGATATACGTAGATGTACGCAGTTATGGTACAGCGTCATCCACTCCCTGCCTTGCCTAGTCCTTCTACCTACCCAGTTTACCGATTAACATTGCTACAGCTTCATATGGTGATCACTTAGTCTTAGGGCACGAGTGGTCGATCGTGTTACCATTGTATTTACGTTAAGCTTCATGGCTGTACAGAATATTGTTTTCCCACGCCGTGTAACCTTGAGAGATCCCAGTAATGCCCTCTGTCCCTCCGCGGGTCTGACTTGGTAAAGACGACCTCGAGGACAAATTAAAATAAGAGTTATGAGATGTGGCACAATGTTACCTAATGGGGGGTGAAGGAGTTAGTCTGAATTCCCTCTCCTTATCTCAGGCAGTTAAGGTGATTTTGTTGTCTCCCAAGTGCGATTGTAAGTCTGACTGTAAGAATGCATGAACTCTGACAATAACAATAGATGCTGTAACTCTGACATATAACAGTTGGTACTGTAACAAAATGCCGAAAGATTAAGCAGACAGGTTTCAGTTATTAGTGTCCAGGACGGCACATCAAATATTTTGATGACCTCATTATTCCATATTAAAGTCAGACCTCTCGGCCATCACTGAGTTTACACCTCTAAAACCTGGTCATGTTATATAGGGGAAACCACAGAAGATTGTGTGTGTGTGTGTGTGTTTGTTTGTTTTGCTGCTGCTTGTATCTTCAAAGCTGGACATTCTACAGCGTGTCTCTCCCGTAGGTTGTGTATATTGATCATCTGAAACGTATTAATTATGTTTTTAATTAGACCACGTACCTGTAGATTCGATATTATAAACTTTATACTTGGTTTATGGATAAAATTATGCATTGTAGTGGTTTAGTCTGGTTGATTTTTACTGCATGACGACAAAGCTGTATTCCATCTTTTTCTGAGTTTTATACATGAAAGGAGACTAGTTAGACTTGCGGTGTGTGTGAAGAGGAGCATGGCAGGTGGCGAGGGTGGCAGAGCGTGTGGTAGCAGGTGGTGGTGGGGGACTGGTGCTGGGTGGGTCCAGTCGCCATTCAGGCTTTAAACATCTTGGTAAGTAATGGAGGGGGGGCTCTAAGGTATTTTATTAAAGCGAAAGGAATATTTATATGTTTCCAGTTTATGCCTGTTGAAAAATTAAGCAATTAGTTGGGAAAATTATTTATTACATGTTGTTCTACTTATTTCCTGAGTATAATACTGTGCCACGGAGTACGTGAAAACATATTAACCTATCACCTTGTAAGGCCTCCAGCATTGTGGTTGACGTAAAATACAACTTTGAATCAATGTTAATTTTTCCCGGAATTCTCGGTAGGCAACACTGTTAAATTTTATGTAACATTATTTAATTAGTTTCGGTTGGGGGAACAGAAACAACTATTTAATTACTCCACAACATTAATTGTTACAAAAATAGGTAATCATATTTGATGCATTGTTTAGCATAATATATACATACAGTTAGTTCATTCATTTCAGAGTTCATTTGAATCACTGAATGTTTTTAAAATCTTGAAGACCTTCAAGTTTGCCATGACTTTAGTGGGAACAAACATGGTCGTGCCTGATCAACCAAGTCAGTCTGTCTTGTGATAAACGTAGAAAATAAAACTTGAAAATACAAAAAAAATGGCTGAAATTATGTAATTTTTAGCCCTGGTTTACTTTTTACCAGACCGTCATATATATTACATCACAAGTGAGTATTGGTGACAGTGTGCCTGAAGAAGTCATCATCGCAGTGTGATAAATTATGTTAAGAATGACTAACTGAAATTTAAATAAGAGTATATCATGAAATTTTTTGGTCATGTTTTTGCATAATTAAATGACCGTTCTACAAAGCTGAGGAGCTGCGTGCAGTGTGAGGGAAAGGTTCATCACAACCTTTAAATTTGTGGTGGTGTCAAGATAAGGTCTCTGAATACACGAGGTTATATTAGTGACGAGTCGAGACTGGCGGGCCGCTGAAGACGAACTTAAAAAGGAGTGTAGGAGCTCTTCTATACGGTGTGATTTAAACCTTGGCAGAGTAATACTATTACCTGTAGCAAAATAGTGCCAAACTCTATCAAGCTCTAGGAAAATTGATTTCATTAGAGGTGGCGAGACTAGCTAGTGAGTATATATGAATGGTATTGGGTTGACGAATAACAGCGATTCTCTTCACACATACGTTCGTGCGTGACACATTTTGTTTCCGCTGGACAACATGCAGTAGATTCGTCATTGATTTATATCTTGGCGGGAAAGTATTATGGCAGGTGCCTGCTCAAGATTGTAGTGTATGATGCTATCCCGAGTAACTAAAGAGTATATGCACTGTTATTACCTCATAAAAAGAAGAAAAAGATAATCACGTATACTACACTTACATCATACTGTCAACGCGGTGTAACAGGTGTGTGCTCGAGACGTTGCCCGGTATCATAACGACAGTAAAAGTTGCTGTGGAGAAGTAGAAGCAGGTGGCAGTGATGGGGGGAGCTCGTCCACCTGAGCCGCCACTCATACTTTTGTCTCCAGTCCATCACCTTGTACACTCGCCACCATTTGCCATACTCTCTCCTACCCCAGCTATCTTGTATCTTCACTTTCATCTAAACACCTCTCTGTTGTTAGTATGGTTAGTTAATTTGTATGATCGTATCCGACCCGTAGGAATGTTGCAGTACTGTACAAGGAACTGCTAGGACTCATCGTGTGTTAGTCCTTTATGGAAGCTTAGTTCTGTCACTCCTGTCTCTCTTGTGGTCTAACTCAGGTCTTGCGTTTTCACGTCAATATTCGCTTAACACATCTACGAATTTAATATATACACAGTTAATGCACAGTTGACAAATGCTCAGTCATAGTGCAGGAACCGTGGGAAACGTTAGCGCCTGTGCTGAGGGAGTGTGACTGATAATGATAGGTTTTTGTGGCTCCGAGGCTGCCGCTCACTCGCCATATGCAGTTATTTCTGCCCCACTTGTTCCACACGGGCTTCAACTACCCTGCCGTATGATCATAATAATGTACATGTTTATGTTTAATGAAGGAATGGTTGTGGATAATTTACCCAGTTTCCATTAAATAGGTTTGAGTTTGAGAGTGGTGGTTGGTTGTACACCATTACTGTCTCTCGCTCTGCTGTAATGAAATTCTGCATGATTTTACTTATTAATGTTGTGTTGGAAGGAAGGGAAAAAAATAAAGCCTTCAGGGTTTTTTGTCAGTTAATCGTTGATTACAGGACAGCTCCTATTTTATATTAATACATACAGTAGTCATGATCTTTTAGAAGTTCTTATATCCCCATTTGTCACGGGGAAATAGTCACATAGGGAGGTAGGCTGTTCAATATTTGTATATACTGTATCGGTAAATATGTTAGTGTAATAATATTTTTATGTAATGCACATATGAATGGTAAGACAGTACATTTATGAAATACCACATGGCAAACTATTTTTACTTGGTGTGTCTAATCATAATATATCATCCACAGGAGGTGCGTGGAGGCAAGTCATTCCAAAAGCTTGGGTACGCTGATGTGAATTTAGCAGAGTTTGCTGGATCAGGAGGCTCCCAGAGATACCTACTGGAGGCTTACGATTCCAAACATCGCCTCCACAATTCCATGCTGAAAGTCACCGTGGACATGACACTATTGTCCGGCGATCCTTGCTTTAAAGCGTAAGCATGTCGATCTCTGTACGTCACCAATACATAGACGATAAAAGAATTTTTATTGTGGTTTGAATGTACTGTACTGTATTCTAAATCAATACAGTAATACAATAGCTCATGAAGGTTTGATATAATTTTTACTACAGTAGGTTTTATTATCTTGTCTTGAGGGCATTGTAGTGTAATAAAGTAAGGTCTGCAGCAGCTGGTGTACTGTACATCTGTTCACTGCTTGAGCTTAGTTGTTGCCACTTGGAGTGATGACGGCAATTTTATTTTTATTTAATTGTTAGTTGTTTGTTTGTAATTAGTAGGAGGCCATATTGAGTTGATGAAGTTAGAAAAGGGTTTTACCTTGATACAATTTTTATCCTGCTTGAAGAAAAAATTACCATCGATTTTGTATAGTTAATAGAATAAAGTGTGTGAGTAATTTAAGTTGTAATATACACCAATAATCATTAGGAATCTTGAGGCTTTTGTTTTAGAAGGAGTGCTAGAAAGTGTGATGCTTACTCTTCCCAACATGTGCTTTTATATGTTTCCTGACGTGACATGACAGACATTTAGTATCTTGGAAATAAATTGAGTGTGTAGTATTTGGTTATGACAATGATGGGTTATGCAAATGTAAGTTCTTAAATGTATAAGTACTGTACTGACTTACTGTTGAAAAATTAAGGTTTTGATAGATTAGTGGATTTATCCCCTAAAATTGATCCTGTTAGCTTTATATTTTTCAAGCTTTATTATTGTAACATTTGCTTACTTCACACTGCATGCATCACTTTGTATTAAAATGATTCTAATGTTCCAGTCAACCATCACGGGGCACTCGGTATCAGCCACCTACAGAAACTGGAGCAGAGGAGGCTCCACCAAGCAGACCTACATCAGGCTCTCTTGCATCATTAACATCCTCAGGTTATGATTCTCTCAAAAAGAAAGTCAACGGTATGTTATCTCCCTTAAACTTATTATTTATTATTTAATGTTTAACTCAACTTTTTTTTTACAATGCTGTACTTTATTTCCAATTGTGTTAACGGATTACTGTAGCTGTAGGACACTTAGGAGTCATTATCCTACAAAACTGCTCAGCCACATTTTCAGGAGTTTGAAAAGGAAGTCTTTATTCTTATACAGTACAGTAGTCCTGATTAATGATATAAACTAACTCAATTCCAATTATAGAGAATAAGCATTTATGGACAGTACTTCATGATACCAAGCAGAGAGAGGTGTTAGTCCCATAACTCAGATGATAATGCTCTTAAAAGCCATATCTAAGGGATAGGTTTGAGCCAGTTGTTTGGCAGTGTTAGTGGGGCATTATTTGCAATGGAAATGTGTGGTTAATTTTACATACTAACCATTTCACCATCTACTTAGAGGTCATTTAGAATTCAGGGTACAGTACAGGTGTTTCCTTTTATGACATTCACTCACTTTCATTAGTAGCTCATGTATTCATTCCTACAGATGGCATGTACTGAATACTGTAGTGGTATAACCATAGAATGTGGTTTCAATTAGGTGTATTTAAAATTGGAGAAAAGTTTGGAGCCAATGTGAACCATTTTAAGATCCTGACTAAGGATGATTAAACCTGCAACCTAACCTAATCTTGCCAGATACTTTTACACTGCAGTGAGATTACACAGGGAGATGTAATGAAATATTTAATAATCATTCTTAGTGTATATACTCGTCAATTGTATAAAATATTTTAAGTGACTTAAAACTTACAATTCTCTGTAAATCTTGTGTAAATTAGCAGATACCACAACTTTGCTAATAAAAAAAAATTTGTTTGAGGTATAAAAGAATCCAAGGATAATAGACGACGATGATGAATTTAATTGTCTCGTGTCTAATACAGTAGTACTCTGTCTTTCTCTCTCTGAGTCTATTCCATTTCCAGCTAAGAGAAGTAAAAAAATTCACTTAAGCATTTAATTAATGTGAATTAACTGGTAGGCTCATGAGTGAAAAGGTAAAAATTATATAGCCACATTAGCCCAGATTTTATTTGCACATTGAAAAAATAGAGTACTATAACAGATGACATATTTGTTTACAGAAGTGTTTGGAGACAGTGAGGAAGGTGAAGGTTGGGGAGGGGAGGCCCCAGGTCATTCCAGAAACTCCTCCAACACAAGTCATGGTTCACATGCTTCTGGTTATGCATCTATTAACTCCCAGTCAGAAAAATCAGGTCACATCAGGTAAGTGTTTTTGACAAAATGATCTTTTGCATCATAACTGCATGTTGGTTTAGTGAAGAATGTTGCTGTTTTGTATTAATAGAATGATTTTAACACTGCATGCATACCTATGCTCTATTAATACTGCTTACCAGTTGTTTCCTTGAAATTTTGGACTAACTAAATGGCTTGATAGTAAGTGAACAGTAAACCTTGCATATACGTACTATTGTATTTTTAATGTTATAACACTGTTATTGCTTTTATGCAGCCGTTGTCCAACATTCACCGTCTGGTCACCGGACAGCATCTATCCTTCTTCCAAGCCAAGTAGCTTCCGTTTATACACTACTAACACCAGTGGCTCAGACCAGCTTTACACTCACCCTTTTCATTATCCACATCCTAAGGGTCTGCCTCCCTCTAAACCTACTGCTCGCTTCCACTTGCTACCTGCTGCACCTAATGAAACTTCTTCCCTCTGCAACACTCCAACTTCTGAGTCACGAAGGCAGAGTGTGTTATTATTAACGGAACTATCCAGTCTCCTTGGTGGCTCGACACCGTCACTTGTGTCCCAATCCTCCTCCGGTACTTGGGGAGGATCTGTGTCCAGTGGTGTAAGCCCTGATGATGGTAGCCGCACATTGATAGGTTCTCCTCAGCTTCCCACATGGTCAGTTGGAGCTTTGCAAACAGCACTTCCAGCTTTTGCAGTGCATGCCGACTCTTCCAGTTTGCATGTTGCCACAGACTCGAATAAGGAGAACAGGTCAGCAAAATTATGCTATTCACTATAATCATGTACGATGTGTTATCGTATAGATGTAGTCGCAAACAAAAGTTCATCCCCTCCCTGAACCTCCCAAACTAAAACAGTATTGATCCCAAATAAGATAAAACAGCACACCCATACTGGACAACAGTCAGGGCAATTCAATTCAGAGACTCGTTCCTGTGGCTCAGTCTCACCAGAGGGGCGAACTTTTGTTGGCGACTGTACTTACAATATAAGAATGCTTATACTTTATTGCATGCACATTTTGGGATGAACTTAAGATTTAAAAATGGTTTAATACAAGATTATTCTAAATGTTTACAAAAAAGAGGTACGAATGTATAGTATTGTATATTAAATTGTTAAGAAAAGTTACGTGTTTGTACGTATATGGTTAACATTCAGTATACCTGTGCTTACATATATACAGTGCAGTATGAGAGTATAAAAATGAATTGAACAGATTTTTTTATTGTTGTACTTTTGTTTAATCAAGTTAGAGAATCTAAGTTCTTGTATACTGTGCTCTTTGATGATCCCTTTTTAACCATTTGGCTCCTGGAGGTTTTCCTAAACAGAAACTGATGAGTGACGATCAGCAGGAAAGAGTTGAGGAATATTCTTTTGGTTAAGTTTTTTGCAACCATATATTCGAATAAAGTTTTGTTTTTCAGTAGCTTGGGAGGTCTTTCTTATTGAGGATATTATTGTATTGGGTAATTGGATCTTTTGGAAAACTGGATATTAATAAGTATAAAAGTAACTTAATGTAGTTTTTCAGATAACGCTTGATATCCTCTAAGCATTAATGAAAGGCATTATTTCCTATTATGTTATTATCATTTGGTCAGCTAAAGCTCATTCAGACCTCACTTCACATGTTGGTAAGTACTACTATAGGGCTCCAGTGGCTAAGTGGTTCCAGTGCTTGCCTTCTCCAGTAAGGGACAAGTTTAGCGGTGAATGGGGACCTAATGTTAAAAATTTAGGAATGGAGGTTGTTGAGTGCATGGTTACTCCTTGTGCACTGAAGGCTTAGCTTATTGATTTCTTGAACATAATATAGTGTTGTTATCAAAGACTATGTACAGAAGATAGGAAAGCAACTCCCTCGATGTGTGATGCACAAATAGTGAAATTTTGGTGAGAATCCACTAAATGACTCGGCCAAGGTTTGCTGTATGACCATATTTATATAATGTTTGGGAAATGTAACACACCTTCAGATGATTGAACAAGATAACAATTGACATCTTGAAGTAGCAACAATACTTTCCTGTCAATAGTATATAGTCTTTGATAGTTATAAAGAATTATATCTCTAACTTGCATTGCTAAATACTGTTTTATTGTATAATTATAATTATGATCTGTTTCCCTTAAAGTGCAAATCACATAGGTATGAAAATATAACATACTGTATTAACAAGTAAAGAAAGTAAGGCTTCTAGTGGAATTTGCAAAATACCTTCAGCAAAAAATAATAAAATGTGGACTCGTATGTTAAATTAAGTGGCTGTGGTAACCTGACAGCACCAGTTAACTATGAGTATACAGTTTGGATGTTGCCAAGGAAGGAAGCCATAAAAATGGAAATATTTTCTTTTGCCCAACTTCCAACTGGAATTCTTCCAAGATGGGCTTTCTGTGTACTGAGGTTGGCTGATTCATTCAAACCTGACTCTCCCATTAATAAAATAATTTATTAAAATAATATATAAAAAAGTACACTAATATTTTAAACTAAAGGATCATCAAACAGTACAGTATTGTACATGAATTGTATCGCATTACTGACCAGTTTTACCATCACAAATAATTTATGTTCAAACATTAATGCCGAAAACCAGCCAATGGACCCATACTTTAATAACCTTTTATATCTACAAGAGAAACTGCAAGTGAGATAAAAATTTTGGTAGATACAATACAGTATTGTATAGCGAAAAGTCTTTAATGTTGACTTCCGGAAAATATGCAAGCATTACAGTATACTGTATGTTAATTTTTCAGAAAAATTATTTCTTTACCGTACTGTACTTCAAATATATTTATAATTACTGTAATTATAATTTCTTGTGGTTTATTTCTAGAAGCAGTAGTGCAGGCTCTGGTGGAATGAGCGAGGGTGGTTCATTAGAGCGAACAGCAGCAAATAGAGCTAAAAATGCTGCAACAGAAGCTAACAAGGAATCGAGGGTAGATGCCACTCGAATTGATGCCAATGATATCATTAATAAGCTTTTCGAGGATACAAAAATTGAATCGCTAAAAGCTGATGATTCTGCAGAAAGTAAGAAAGTTTGTATTTTTTTACAATTTGTGAATTACTTTACTGGACTTGTATTTCTGTTTTCTCTTTGCTAAGGATAGCATAGCATATCTCAGGTACCAGTATAAAGGAACACTATATTGTAAGATAGAGTTTGTAGCCAGAGTTTAGTGGACAGTTTACTATGTAGTGATTTTAAATAAGACTTGTGAAGTTCAGGATTGAGGAGTGTTAAGGTTACACAGTATTTGAAAGGTAATAAAATATTTTTATTGGTGGAAAACTAACACTTAATATCTTTGGTTGTGTGTATTTGTTTATATATTTGATTATTTGAACAAGAGGATGAATGAAATTAAAATGACAAAGAGCATTTATGAGTGAGGTGAAAGGGGAGAGAGAGTAAACTATTGGTATATTAATGAGTTTTATTTAAGTGGAAAGGCATGGAAAAGAAGTGACAGAAATATATAAGAACTTCTATACCAGCCACACATCTGGATAATTATAGCTACCGGTATATAGAATTGGACACAAGGATTATGAAAAAGAAGTAGTTAATATAGTTCTCTGTATTGAAAGAATAACTGAAGACCATGAAAGGTATTCGGTACTGTACAGGTATTTGCATCTAAATCGTGACGCTTATTTAAAAGTTATTTCTGTATTCAGAGGCTGGTGACTGGGATAGTATTTTACCCCACCATTCAAAACCTGGTGAACCATGTGGAAGAATGTCATATTGTGAATTTAGAATTTTTTATATAAAGAAAAAATGATTGACAGGGAACCAATGTAAATGAACTTAAATTGGTAGTGTTATATCCTAGATGAACCTGGAAAGACCAACATTCAAGTCGCAATGACTGTACAGTATTTGCCTTCATTGTGACAGCCAAATTTTTTTTTATTACCTGCTTTATTTAATATTCAGTAATTACAAGTTAGAAATTCTCACTTTTCAGCATCTGGCCTACAGTTGTACATTGGACGTGACGGAACAGCAGCTTTGGGTGGAAGAAGTATTAATTCAGGAGGAGAGTTCAAGCCAGTGGTGTTTGAAAAGAGATAGCAGCAGCCGTAATGTGAGGGACCTGAACCTCCATTGAACAGATTTGGGCATCAATTCTGAAACCACATAGAAATGTAAACCCATACTCCAGCTAGTCTCTGACAATAAATTCCTAGAGATAAACATGCAGTTGTATCACACTGAAGCACTAACAAGGTATGCTAATGTAAGTGGTTTCAGATATTTGCAACAGTGGTTTCAGAATTGGCTCCTTTTAAGGCTGCCAATGAAAAAAAAATCGTAGCTAGCATGCTTCCAGGCCAAAATGCTGTTATCATATGACTGAGTTTGTTCTGGAAACAACGAAGTAGTGAATGATGTCACGAAGTAATATATGTGAGTAAAAGAATTATTGGATGGTGAAATTATTTTGTTGGAAATTACGTGAGCAACCTTCAATGTTTTACTAGGAAATTTTCTTCATGCTAAATAACTGAGGATATATCACAGTGAAATTAGGTTATCATGATTATCACTTCCATATAATTACCTTGTAACAGTACGAGTGATTATGAGAGACTTTTATCAAGAATTACTAATTGTCTAAGAGTATAAAACAAGGTGGTGTTATGTGATGGAAGTAGAAATAATTGGTCAGTATTTATTTGGTGTAGACAAATGTTTAATTATAATTACAGTACCCCGGTATAATAAATTCTCCGATTTTTCTTTTCTTTTTTATTTGCACAATTGGATATTGGAGTGCCTTAGTGTTTCACAAGGTCTTAAGTTAACAATTGGCTCAACTTTGATTTGCAATTCTTGATTTAAGACAGTAGTCCCAGGAACAAATATTTGAATTCAATGAAGGAGTACTGTACTAGGAATCATTCTTAAAGTAAGCACAATATAGCGAATCACTTCAAAAATATTAATGAAATATAAGATGACTTGATTAACCAGAGGAACTTAAAAAGAAGGCAAATCTAATACTGTACACATCATCTTTGCTTTCTGAAACTCATGTGAAGTTCATTACCTATTAGATACCTTCAGTTATATGCGTCATAAAATTTGTAAGGTCATGTCATACAGTTTTCTGTAGAATACTCTCATATACCTGTACAGTACAGTATTCATAATACTGTAGAGACAAAAACAAATTTTCTAACTTTGGTGAATTACTGATGATGTTTAATAGGACATGAGTTTCACAAGAGAGGCCAAATCTTTGACTAAAAGCATTTTTTATGCAATACAATAGGTCACTTGAGGGATTTAAATTTTGTTCTCCAATGGCCTCTACATGTTACAAATATTGTACAATATTTACCATGAATAGCTATTTGTCAGCATTCCTTGACATCGGGAATAACAAGACATGGCCAGTCAAGAACAGTATTTTTTTTGTCCTACGTAGTTGGTTATTCACTTGAAGTGTTGAGAACCCTTTCTAAAGTAATTTACTGTATATTCATAATAAATCAATCCATATCCCATTAGGCTGCTATGTAGCAGGGTGGCCTATGTATAAGATTTTCACACACCACTGTCTTAGCACAGATGCAGATTCCTCTGCTGATATAACACCACACTCATTCATATAATCCCTTGCTCTAATTCATGTGTAACTTCATTCTTATTTTAAAATTATCCAACTCCTCCTTACTCGACAATACATGTCTTTACCCTTGAATAATCAGTCTTTCCACTTTCCCCTCTCATTGCTGTAGCTACTTTGTTTATATTCAATACTTTCCTAATTCCAAGTATATATTTTTTTAAATCTACTGACACCTTGCCAAACTTTTATACTGTTGTGGACACCTGTTTCACTGTCATACTGTTGTGTGGGTCATACCATCACTAAATACCTGGCATGTTTCACCACTTCTCTCTCTCTGGTGGCAGTTTGCTTTCATTCATATCTTAATTAAATCTCATTCACTCAACTGAAAGCACTGTCTCTCCTGTAGCGTTAACTGTCTATTTAAACTTGCATTATTTTTTTTATTTTTTTTTTATTCTCCAATTCTTTAACCAGGGTATGTGTGTTTGTGTGAGCTTTTATGTATGTGTAGATGTTCAGATGTATGTGACTATTTTTTTTAGCTGTTTGTGTTTGCCTGGACTCTGTATACACCTGTAGTGTACGAGGATTATTTGAGTGTGTATGATTACTCATATTTATTATGTGTTTATAAATATTTATAACTACACCTCTATCCAAGTCTCTCTTAATTCCACACCAACACATTCATTGATTTATTTACTTTTTATTTTTTACATTTTGCTTAATCTTCATAGTTTTACTCAATTTACTGTTCAACCACTTACTAAGTGCCTTGCAGCTCCAAATATTCTTTCTTATGAGTTTGTCTACTAATCAAACCTTAAACTCCTACATTTATACATACTGTACTGTACTATGCACAATCCTTTATTCTTAACTCATTTATTCTCTACAAAATCAGTAAATCAGGAATGCCCTTTTCCTTTTTCTCTATTTTTGTTGTTGTGAAGGTATGATTCACACACACACACACACACACTTACTTCCATAAATCCTTCTTTATTTTCTTGCATAAATAGCTACTGTATATATATATATATATATATATATATATATATATATATATATATATATATATATATATATATATATATATATATATATATATATATATATATATATATATATATATATATATATATATAATATTTTCCTGTTTACAGTAGTATTACAGTCACTTCATCCATCCAGTTGATTAGCACATTGTCTTCCTTCCATACTTTTTGAACAAGAGTTAACTCTGGTAATGGTAATGATTTATCAGAGTATAAACTCCTTATGTGGAAGGTGTAATGTATGAAATATGCTTGTAGATGTAGACAGAGGCACCACCTTGGTAGGTTCATCTAAGTTGAAGTGTTGGTGCTTTAGAAATACTCAAAATTGTTGGAGAAGAACAGTACATTAAAAGGGAACATACAGTTTTATGTGAAATTATTTATATCTGTTGCTAATTGTCATGATTAATGGTCTTCTGCATCAAATACACTGTTTTGTAATTTAAAGCAAGGAATTACAGTATATAGAATAACGCATTGGTTTATATACATTAGAGCTAACTAGAGAATATGGTGTCAGCACTCAACATTGTTGTTAGTGAACGTTTGTGTTGCTTTGGTTTGAAGATCCAAGCTTGCACGAATCTGGACAACCATAGTCAGATTATTTGTTCGTCTTTTTCTATCAGTTGGATACTTTCTTAGTGGAGACGTTAACTCGTTTTTATAAATCTGTAAATTATTAATGTTGACCTAAAGACACTTATAATAATATGGACAAAGATTGAAACAAGATTTATTTATTTCGGCGCCATCTTTTCAAATACCTGTACTACCGTACCCAGAGTCGGAAGTTTCCATGGATGGAATTACTTGCATACAAATTATTTTCCATATTAAATATTCGAGTGCTTTGTATATTATTACATAATTAGATATATTTTTTTTCTACATGACAACAAAATGTTAATAACATGACCAATTTTAAATTAAGTTGGCTCACTGAAAAAACAAATGTTTTAAAACTAGTAATCAAGACATGTGCTTTATATACAGAACAGTGTATTGCAGTGTCTCACTGTAAGATCTTATAATAAGTATCATTTTGTCAACAATTTAGAATACAGTCTCTAAGTTGCTAAGAGATATGACCAAGTGTTACTCTTAATGTCATTTATAATTTCAGTAGAAAAGTAACCATTTGAAGTCCGTGAAGTATGTCACGGGACGTACAGTTTTGATCACCAGTGTGGGTGTGAATGACAGGTCTGCATTGTACATGTATGCTTATTTGTAAGGTTGTGTGCATGACTGTTGAAGTGTATTATAACTCAGTGGGTTGGAGGAACACAGTGGACATTTGTCCCAGTTGGGGTTGACATAAGTCATAGAAAATTTACATTTGTCCTCCTAAGAAATAGAAGAACAAGTATACTCATGATTTAGAATTCCCTTACTGTTTTGGATAACTGATTGTGTGTTTCACTGTTGACCTTCACCAACCGTTTGATCTGGCTGTTGTACTAATATTCGGTGTAGCTTGTGAACTCGGTGAACCCTAGTTGAACCCTAGTCAAGCACTGACTGCACAGACATGCATGATGGTGCTTTGGTGATAGCAAGTGAATTGGTTTCTGTCAGTCATACTGAATAGCGTGCCTGGTTTTTGTATATACCGTACATTTGTATGTCATTTCTTTAACAAATAGGAAATGATATATGGGCTCAATCTTCCCAAAATTAAACTTTGTTTTACAGTTTTCATTAGAAATCTGTGTGTTTTGCACAATATACTGTTAGATGTTACCTTGGCACAGAAATTATTTATATATTGTACACCCACAATGATCTGGCAATACCATCAGATAATTATATACTGTAGTGGTTCTGTCATTTTTTAAAAAAAAAAAAAAAAAAAAAAAACATGTGAAGATTAATATCACAAAATATTTCTAACCGTGGTCAAAAAGGCCTCGTGTCCCAAATTTATGGAGATCAGAGTTAAGAGGGTTTATGGAAGCCATTATCCAACCCACAACAAACAACTGTGGTAAATTAGCCTTCATGTTACAGTACTGCTAACACTTTCCAACCTAATATTTTTTAACAAGTGTAACTCTACTGTAGGATGTTTTCCCAATATCAGATAAGGTAATGTATTAACTTACTTTACATAATGGTGGTGAAAAATCTTTGGAAAAGTACAAATATTTGTGGATAAAGTAAGCTTCAATACATATGTATATTACCTATTTAATGCTAAATGATGACAGTGGTAAGATAAAGCTTATATGATATGCTTATAGTGCATCCTTTAAGGAAGAAAAGATGGACCACAGATTGCTTTATTTTTATTTCTTAGGCCATCTCTTGACTTTGACACACACACACACACACACACACATTGATAATTTTGTATAACAAAATTTCTTCAAGGAAAAAAAAAAAGAAAAGAAAAAATACTCTACTGGTGCTCACAGGCCAATCATCATATGCAAGTGGCTGGGTACCATTGCTCACTGATCATGAACCATTTAAGCACTGAATCTTGGGTATGATGGCTTGTACTTCCATCAATACAAGGGCCAACAGTTTGAATTTATTATGAGCCCACATTCCACAACAAAAGTACCTATGTTACCATTCAGACTTCTGTGTGTAGTTATATTTGTAATTTACTTTGTAAATAGTAGATTAATAACAGATTATTCAATAAAGTCAGTGAAATCATTTATTTGCTTTTCATTTGATATGCAGTGACCAAAATTGTAGGGAGGCATTATTGGCACAGTTTGGCCCTACCTGCCTAGTGAAACATATTCTTGAGAAACCTGCCCGACTGACAACAGATTGAACTTCGATGGCTAAGTTGATCTCTTAAAGAGCAGTTTTCAATTACCTTGTAATGTTCAGTGCACCCTCGTTTTTTGTGGATTTATTATTTACTGTATCGACTATTTGCGGATTTTCATCAGAAATATATTTTCAACGCAACAGGTACAGTATTACTGTTTTCGGATGCAGTTGAATTGTGCGTGCGAGTGAGTTCCCACAAGAAACTGCCAGGCATCACTACCTCAGAGTGCACCTTCCCACCGCTCCTCTGTCTCACTTGCGTCCCCCGCCATACTGTGTATACATCTCACTGCAACCCGTGAGTTTTGTGCTCGAAAATCCCATTATGGCTCCAAAACCTCCTTCTGAAGGTGGTGACAAGGGCGGTAACACACCAAAGAAACTTAGGAGATAGAAAAATGTCAACTTTAAGTTGAAATAATAAATAAACTTCAGAACAGCATGAATTATGAGGCATGTGCTAGGGCATACGAGATGAATGAATCAAAAGGTCACTACAGATTAATCATCATCATTACTCATCATCTTCTGCTGTGAAGTACCAGGGGGAGAGTTGGGAGAGAGGATCAAGAGGACAGAACAACATAACTGGGCTGGTGAGTACAGTATTCCGTATGCATTGTGTTTTTTGTTTAGGTAAAAAGTACGTATATAAAATGCTTTTAATCTTGTTTGCATTTTTTACTATGTTGTCTTTACATGTTATTCGATGATATGTGAGTGGGAGAGAGGTTTACAGATCATTAGAAACCTGTTTAGGGCCATACAAGTGATCAGGGATAGGTTATAGGTTATAATATTAAATACATGGCAAGTCAAAATCAGCAAAAGACTATAGTACAGTACTCAGGGTTTTGCTCTTTCGCGGTAATATCGGTAAGCTGTATTCCTGTAGCTAATTCTGCACATGTGGTTTACTTTTTGCCTTATCATCAGTACTGAACACTGCTAACAAAGTATTGTACCCTGTAGTTGTGTAGTGACATATTGGAGTGAAGTCATTTACAGTATTTGTACTGTATGTTAGTACGAAGCCATGGACAATAAGTAGTACAGTATTTTTGCCAGTTATTACTAAATAGTATTGTAAACTTTTAAATCTGTATGAATAACTCAGGATCGAGACCAAAGCCACAACACTCTTGGCGGATAAGTACAGTAATACGTTGATGTATTGAAGAATCTATAAGTGAGAAATATTTTACTCCCCATCACAGCAAATCCTGACCTAAATGTAGTGCACTAGGACCAGCACTGTTGTGATTTTATAATTTTTCATCTCCGTTACTGTGGAGCATCTTTTTGAGTGTGTGGGTGTGATTTAGTCTTTAACTATGAGAAGGATGTCCAAACAGTCTAATAACATCTACTGTTATGCCAAAGGGGATGCAGCTTTAAGCCCGTATACACACCAACATACAGTAATGTAATCTGGGTGAATTTTACAACACACACACACACACAAGTGCTAACAAAGACACTAGATAAAACACTGTACAGTGACCCCTCGTTTAACGAACGCCTCTGTTAACGAAATTTCGGTTAACGAACTGCCTTCCATAAGGATTTTCAATTCGGTTAACGAACAAAAATTCGGTTAACGAATTTCTTAAGAACCGACCTCAACATGTTTTCGCTTGCACTGGCCGGGCAACCAGCTTTAGTATCAGTCCACCAATACATTAATCGGTTCTAGGGCTTAAATTCCTAACTATTTTAGTAAATATCAAGAAGTTTATACTATTCAATAATTTTAAAAGTTTAATATTCAATTTTTTAGTCATTTTAACAATTATTGAACATAATTGAAGGTAAAGTGACTAGTTTAAAGCGCAGCATCCAGCCTCTTAACACAGCAAACAGGTGTTAGTCTCTCTCTGTTTTCACTGGAGGTAACATCTTGCTTGAGACTCTCTTCAACTCAACGCTTTTTTTCTGTGTTTCCAAGCAAATTATTGGTCATTTTGAAATATATTTTACATATTGACAATATATAATGCAGTGCAGTGTTGATTTAAAGAAAATAATCTTGAAATACACCAAGAGAACTAAAATTTTATGGGTGAAATGGTGCCATGGGGTGACTTCTCTTCCACCCCAATGCCTTCTCTTCTTCCTTCTCCTCCACCCCTATTGTAATTCCCATCATCATCATCCAGGAGCCTTCTACATACACACCTCAAAGTAAGTGAACTTTTCTCCCATTTTTGTTGAATTTAGGAAATTTTCGGTGAGCTGGAACCAATTACCCAAAAACCCATTGAAACAATGGTTTCGGTTAACGAACTTTTCGGTTAACGAACGACCTTCTGGAACGGATTGAGTTCGTTAACCGAGGGGTCACTGTATATATATATAATAGTGTAACTTCAAAGCCCAAAGTGGGACTGAACCCTGGCATCTTGGTCTGTGAGACAGGCATAGACATCATGCCAACATCCACCCTGGAAAATGGCGATTCAAGCACGATAATAAGTGACTTGTTTTACATCAATACTTTTTCTAATTTTAACAGGGCCATTTGCTGTACAGTCACTCAAAAAACTATCTTTACAAAATTGTGGTGTGAACATTTGATGCAAAGGATGAAGGATTTTGACGACCCTTCCGAGACAACAGAAGTCGCAGTGTTCGTTCTGAAATCCATCGATCACCCCGAGTAATTTATTTTTTTTAGTGATTACACATGAATACTGTATAGAGGGCATGTATATACTGTAGCACTAAAATTTAAAAGTAACTTCTTAATTCTATCTATCTGACTCACATGCCTAATACCTGTAAAACATAGCAAGGTGATAATAGCACAAATGTCTACTCCCTCCTCATGGCACCAGTATAATCCTAAAAGTGAAAAAGATGTAAAACTGTGACTAATGTAACTTTAAATTAGGTTCCCTTGTCGTCGTATATAAACATTTAGAGAATAGGCTAGTTAAGGAAACAGTATACCCGGTAGTGTAGGAAATGCATGGGATTTGCTGATTTTGTCTTGGATCTTAAAAAAAAAAAAAAAAAATTACCGAGAAACTTTAGTGTGTGCGCGCGCTTCAATATGGGATAATTATAGGTACCTTTTTCAAGAATGCAAAAAACTGCCACTCAAATTCTGTTGGGTATGAAATTGAACTCCTTCCCCAACCCAATTTCCAACCCACCTGAAAATACCAGTTTCCTTTAATTCCTAATAACCTAAGCTTCCCCTTACATAGGGGTTGTATACAGTATATTTCAAGGTATTGTATAATAAATGAATTAAAATATAAACAACTTTTCCCTGGCAACACGTGGGTTCATATACTGTACAGGGTATCACAAAAAAAAAACTACTGCACTTCCACTAACACACAATACCAGTACTACACACTACCAATCCAGCCCCATAGGATTTGCTTGGCAGAGAGGATATGCTTTGTGACTTAGACTTTTGTCATCAAGGATGTCCGTGTAAGTCCTGAAGGCCACTGGAAACTCCAAACCGTTTTGCAGGTATTCTTCCACTGTGGCGGCGCCCGTCTTAGCGAACTCTTCACCATCTCCCCATACAACTGGGCTCATTTCACTGGCCTTAGTCAGGTCTACCCACATCTCAAATCCTGTTTGATTGAAAACCGCAAAAAGTAAATAAATAAAAAATTTATAAAAAAAATATGAAATACTGTAACACTTTTGAAAAGCTAACTAGTGTATGTCAGTCAATTTATAAACTGTACAGTACTTTAATACACAGGGTATTTTGTTTTATTGGGCCATATATCAATACAATTAAAGTTATTTTTTACAAGAACTTAAGTTATTTTAACCAGATTCATAACATGATGGTATCCTGGCAGAGAGAGTCAGCCAGCCATATGTAATGATCTGCTGTTGTAGGCTAAGCCACATGACACCAAGTTTGTTCTTTGTTTTGTGCAAGATTCACCACATATGTCCACATGGTCTTGAAGAACAGCTTAAGTATTTCTCTCTCTATATCACACACACAGTCCCAACAAAACTCACCTGTTTGTAATGCCATTTTATCAAGTGCATTATACTGAACAACACTCTTAGTGATGGCCAAGCGGTGTCCTGGGATTTGGGCACACAGTGCCTTAGCAGAGGTGAAGTTCATCCATTTTGGCACAATCAAGTACAGCATATTGTCCTCCCACATCGAGTAATTGCCACTCGGGAGAGAATCTGAGAAAAAAATACTTCTGGAAAGTCGTGCAGTTTGAGCACAATAAAGGGGACAGCTAATACAAATGGTGTGACAGCTGTGTGGATACAGTGTCCATTTTCTCTCCTAAGGGTTTCTGGTTCAATCCCAGGGAACTCCTGGTCCATCCAGCTGTAAATGGGTGTTTAACTTTTAAAAGTCGTGGAAGTAAAAGTGGCTAAATGCAGTGCCGGACAAGCTGCCTCCTTGCGTACCGAAGGCTTAGCATATACAGTATTGTGCTGTATTCCAATATGTAAATCATTAAACTGACCTTGCCAGAAGATGTAAGTTGACAGAGCATCATCAAGGACCGTGGAGGAGGTAGGTCCTTTGTCTGACAGATGGCAGTACATTGGTCCCTCATTATCGCTCACCTCTGCCACTGCCACACATCGGCTGTCCATCCAGCAGGCAGTGCGACAATGACCTACATGATGAATCTCTTCCTCAGCGATAGAAATCTTAAAATACACGTACAGTATACTCTATATACGGTGCGTACGACCAGAGCGGACAAAGTGCCACTATGGTCAAGATCGAGATTTATTCGCAAGAGGATTTATAACGAACTTGCCTCTCTATCCCGAAGACCGACTCGGTTACTTAGAATGGAAGTGACAATATGGTTGATTTTGTTGTTAACCTCATAATGGTCATTGAGTAAATTACATTATCCATTGTCATACACTAACTGGTCACTGACATAGTTTGCATTTCATTAAGCTAGGGTCCTGTAGGGTTTGCTGAGGGCTCGTATGGGTCCAGATCTGCAGAATAACTTGGCAACTTGTGCCTATAAATAGACGAGTGTGTGGAGGCCACAAAACAAAGACTAGGCGGAGTGTGTGTGTGTGGTGAAGGGAGGAGCGTCGCATTTTCGCCTCCCACAATGTGGAGTTCCCACATCTCCCAGTAAAAACTTTCAGGAAGCTGTCTGACATGATACTTTGTTTAATTGCTAAGTAAACAACATAAATAAGTGGTAGTAGACATGCTGCCACCTCTGAACGACACTGCGTGCATGGCAGCACCTGATTGCCAGGGACCTTTAAACCAGGCCCTTTGAGGTTGTTTTAGCCAACAAAAAGAATGTGGAAAAATCTTTGACCATCTGGGCATGAATTAGGTTAGATTAATGACCATCTACGGATTAAGTAAAACTACCCACACATCACTGTGTGTAAGGCTGGTAATGAGGGTGGCAGGGAGCAGATCAAAGAGAGGAAAGTGCCAGAGAACTCCATTTTTTTCTGGCGCTTTGTCTACTCTGGTCATACGTGTTTATATTACCACTCTTATTACACCCTGACAATGTAACCAATTTTGATGTATCCAACTATCCAGACTACAATTCACTGTATACCAAACATTAAAGTGGTGTCCTCTGCATGTATCAAGTGCTGTATTTTCCCCAAAGACCACAAGGTGAAATAACATCCAGTATGCACTTATGCAGACAATTAAGCTCCTTATATTTAGGATTCACATCAAAAAATGATCTTGCTTAGCAATAACAGTACCCTTGGTGCATAAGGCACAGTTCTCATCAAGTTCAGTACAGTAGCTATTTATAATAATCACAAACACACACTGGTGAAGTCTTGGAAATACATTCAGACATTTAAGACACTAAACTAATGACTAATCATCTAAAATATCAAATGTGTGTCCAACTGTCCACAGAGAACAAAGATTACTATAGTTTTAAATTTGAAAGGCTAATTGTGGTATAAAGTGTAAAATGTAGAACTGTTGAGGCATTTGTTCATATAAGAAACCGTAAAATAATCGATATAATATTAAAAAGATCTTGCTGTGCTCTGACCATACAGTTCAATAATGTTGGTTCGTTCAAATAATGCAGTACTTTACACCACTACTGCTCAAAAAAGTGCCAGAAAATCAAATCTTCCAGAGTATTGTAGTCAGACAGATGCATATACAGTATACAGTAGTATATATATCCCAATTTCTAGTAATTTTTGTTTAGTGCGTACGGACTGTATATGAACTGATTCTGCAAAAGACTTTAGGGATATACAATATAAAGGCCCAATACCTTGTGTCCCAGGCAAGAATGTGTTGGTGCAGGTAATGTGGTACAAAGTCATGCAGGAAGATTAACTTACAAGGTTTGGTTTTAGCAACGGATGAATATACATCTGCCATACTCAGAATCTTCCCCTTCGCCACCAAATGATTAGCATAAAGTGGGCTGACGTTGTATGAGATGGAGGGCGGGAGTGATGCTACTAGTGTAATGCACGCCCACATCAGCACCACACAAAGCGTCACCTTCAGCCTCCCCAGCAGGGTATCTACATGACTCCACCACCCCATCACTGCTGGCAGTAAACATATCCCACAGGAAAAATAAATGTTTAACTCCAAGGTAATATTAATGGTCTTCAAAAATAAGTTGGTGGAGAGTACACAAAGTTCAGATCACATTCAATGTTAATTCAGAAAGATAAAAGCTACGTCAATGAAAATATTTCCTTTGAATTTACTATTTTCTGCAAATAGATGTATTATAAATTTTTACAGCTATAAAACAACGGATCAAATACTAGTGGGCTTTTAACTCAATAGAGTATGATTTTTGTAAACACAACATCCATTAATACTGAGTAGCTTTTATCCTTGCACACGAAAACTAGATTCCTCAACACTAGACGAGAAATTAGAATTCCTAAAACTGCTCAACACGCCACAATGCTCATAAAGATTATTCATACTATAAAATACTTACTGACGTTGAATTTGATGGTATTCACTAAGATATGAACGACTTAGTGACCAATAATACTACAATCACAACAATTTCCAACCCGTCAAGTAGGTGGTTGCAAGCAGAGTGGAAACGAGTATTAAAATTATTGTAATAAAATGTTCTTTCATAATGTCGCTTCAAATTCCGTGTGGGGTGTATTGCCTTAGAAACAACCTTACTGCCAACGTAAATTGCTTGGACCACTACAAATGTAATAATAATAATAATAGTAATAATAATAGTGAATCCTTCTGCAAGGCTTTTGAGTGTTTTTTATTCTTTGCTCTGTAAAGGAAGCAACTCGCCAATAACATAATCCTAACTATGCCAGTGAACTACTTTGACCTAAAATTTGCGCCTCGCCAAGACTCGCGGGATCGATGAAAACACTTAAAAGCTGCAGAACCCGTTCACACGCCTCAAACGAACTGGCCACACACTTAGCTACTAAGATACACGAATATACATGTTTAACATATGAACACGCAAATGATCATTAATTCATGTAAACTGTGTATACATAAAATATAATCATCAAAACACTCGTACAAACACACACATATACCTAAATTAAAAGCAACTAGCAAAATTACGAAGGAGATTCAAAAAGAAAGAAATAAGCAGCAAATGAAGATATCTAATTAAACACTTAAAACTACCTGACACAAGAACAGGTAAACAAACGACAAATCGAAGAACAAATTTAAGGAATAATAGAAACGAAATCTAAAATAGGTAGACACAAAGAGTGACCAGCAGTGAACTTGACAAAATTCAGGGTTCATCTACCAGCGTCCAACGAATATGGCGACAGTCCCAAACGTGTGAGCTGTTCCTACACTACAATGTTGGCTTATGTTTAGCTACATTTAAGAGCGTATGCGTAACCAACACTTACGGAAACTTCACAACAGAAAACTAATCGACCTCTTGACCGGCTTGTGAGAGGCGACAGTATCAAAGAAAAACCAGAGAGAAATTAACACCAGCTGGAAACTTTATTGCAACAGAGCACACAACCAAATTCTCTTGTTGAACTTAATCCACACAACACTCACCTGATGTTATGAACGAAATAGTGATGAAATTTATACCATAATTTCCACATACTACATAAAAGATTACAAAACGAGAATAAAATAGAATAACGAGAAAAATCTTGGAAGAAACAGATTGGACTCCATGAGTACTGTACCAACGACCACATATAACACCAATGTCTGTCTGTGTATTCTTTAGTTACTGAATACGTGAAACACCATAACGAGAAAGATCTATTTTTTTTTCAGAAATTTATAATAGACGTTGTTTATTGTATGGTCCTAACGAGAATAAGTGTTTAAAGACCCTACCAGTTGAAACACAAACACAAAAAAATACTATTGCATTAAGCATTAAATAGTGAGCAAAATGAGACCGAAATTGTCCGACAAACTAACAACGGCCAAGATCCAAATATAAGCCCTAATATATATATATATATATATATATATATATATATATATATATATATATATATATATATAAAGGGAATTTGGAATTTACTTATTTTGTACAAGAAGATTTTATTAGTGTAGTCACCGCTGACAATGAAGTTACCGTGGATTTTGCTTCGTGACATTATTTATCTATCAACAATAGGCTGAGGCGAGATCTAGTGTAGTTGAGGTCTAATTCATCAACTTACCAGTCAGCCACCAGGTGAGAATGCAGGAGAGACCAGGAGGAGATGGGACCTCAACCAGCCAGGAAGAGTGCGAGGCTACTAATGGGCTGGCAAAAGGCAGCCTCATGCCAACATGGCTTTGCCGATCAATACCAACTTACCCCAAACATAAACATGTTGTTTGGCATTTTATATTAAATAAATTCACGGTTTTCTTTTGTGTATGTGTGTGTGTGTGTCAACAGAACCCCTAACAGAGTAGTTAAACAGTATAGCTATACTGTAAATGGTAGGTCGTCAGGTAGTAAGACAAGTGCTTACTTGAGCGGTGTGTGTGCCAAGTTTTTAATCAGTGCTGCAATCTTGGACTCGTTTAGAATTGCACTGTTAAGTATTAATTTAATATTGATGGTCAATATATTCAGCTGAAAATAATCAGCCTAAAGACATTAACAAGACAAGATGACACATTTCAATAAGAAACTACAGACTGGGAACGCTGTAGGCGACACGTCACTGTTGGTTTAAACTTAAAACATTTTAGAAATTCCAGTATGCATATAATTATCAAGCAAGCATCCTTGATATCCACTGGTATTAACTCTTAATTGATTTATCAACATAAAGTGTAAAAAAAAAATCTTTAACATTACTCCAAATACTACATTATAATCAAACCCTTTCCAACATCTTATGTATATTGTCTTAAATCCCATTGACAAAACGCCAATACTGAATTTGTCAACATGATTATTTGTTACTTTTCTTCCATGACCACTTTATGTGCAGGGTGGGTCAAGAGGAAAACCTTAAGCAATGAAGGGAGTGCTAGGAAAAAGTCTGGTGCAGAAGTATAGCAAACGACAGAGGTATGACGCATCGATAAACACACACACACACACACACTCTTTATAAGAATCGCTCAAAACATAAATCTTAGTCTGGACATTAAGTAAGCAGAATTGTGTAACTTGTTCATGCTCTCCTTAATATGAAAGAATCGACTGCAGTGTGTACCATCTATAAAGGTTATTCTAGCATTATCTAATCTACAGTGACATACATCTCTACCTTTATAATGTATCTAGAAACACAACATTATGCACTAGGCGACTCTTTTGGTCATTAAACGCGAAAATATTACTAAACATTCGAGTGACAGACACCTCAACAAAGTGTGGCAACATTGGGTGTGAGTTGGACCTCTGACTCCCTGAAGTTGTGATTATAGACAGCTAAGTGGTCAACATGCTATGAGGCTGGGACCCCCCCTTCTCCCGACAAGGTACTGTATATAGATCGTGTTAACGCAGTTGCTCAAACGACTAATCATAAAAAACTTTGTACATGTGTTAAAATAAAGTCCAGTGCATTCCTGTGTTTGTTTTTTATTTATAAACGCCATTAACAAATGTCTTCAATTTATCCAGAGACCAACACTGCCTGAGGAGCCACAGTTATACCTATAGTCGAGAAAAACAACAGATCAGATAACGTAATTTCAAGCCTGTGAGTATTTAAGGCGGAATTTTATTGAGAGTTTAATAGATATTGAAATTTACATTATATGAATTATGATGCTGGTGTAGACCGGAAACCATAGTGACGTACAAAGTTATAACACAAATCAAAGATCACGTGAAGATTTGGCACCCAAGTTTATTTCACGTGATGATTAAATGCTACCTTGGGGGGCCGGGGTTAGGATAGCGTTAGGGTGGTTAATCATAGGGTACAATAAGTTAGGGTGCGTAATCTTCACGAGATCTCAATTCATAGTTCTTTCTTGTTCCACGCGTCAGTAATTCTCCTCACAACTCCAAAGGGTTCATTTCAGAAACTCTCAGTTATTACCCCACTGGGACACGACTTAAATGGAAGGTAAAATGCAGGAAAATTAAGCCAAGTTTTGATTAGTTCTCAGGCGGTGGAGGAAGATCAACACGAAATCACATTCACGAAACAAAACTCATGAACCAGGCGAAATATAAGCGAAGTATACACGAAACATACACTAAATTACATCTCGCAATAGTCCTGAAAGGTAATTCTTAAACCTGGTGGCGGGAGGGGGGGGGGTAATACGTGATGTGCGTAAACGTTGATACACACATGTACACATGCGCTTACACACAAACATACAGTGCAGAGGATCTCGTGGTGTGTTCACGCACGAACACATACCGTAAACATGTATACCGACACAGGTACACATGATACGGGAAACTTAGGAGCGGGTGTACATCTCCCCGGCTACTCTGAAGTTGCCGTGTTTTCCCCCGTAGTCTTGCAGTTGCCATTCAGTAAAAACCACATAAGAAAATTGATCAGCGTGTCACTACAGTAAGGGTGGCATATATATTATTGCAGCTGCCATGTAAATATCCGTTTAAATTCTTTATAGAAACTTAAAATAACAAATAACAAGAACACTCCGTTTCGCCTGGGTAAAAATATGAGGTTATATATATTTTTTGTCTTAACAGAGGCTCATTTGGAGGGAAAATAACATCATTTAACTTATAATGAAACTCCTTACGGCTAATGTCAGCGGCGGCACGTCTGGGAATTCCTCCACATTGAGATGCCTGGGACGTGATTCTCCTTTAGCTTCGTACTGTATCCAAAAAAAAAAATTCCTCCAAATGAAAGGCGTGAGAATTCATTACTATCTCTGTTGGTATGCAAGATGGCTTCGACATTACATAAAAGAATTTACGGTAACTATCTTAGAAAAACATGAAAAAAAAACACTGATGCATCCTAATTTAGAGATACAATAACTACCATAACAATCATTCGAGTTGTAGTACTTCAGTTAGAACTATTGTGCCTTGGTTGAGTGTCGTGTGATTCTTTTTGTTCCTATCATCCGAGTCCTGGCAGATACCACGATCCAGGTGAGTTATCAGTGATCTGAGTTCTAGCAGGTAC